GGATCAGAATTTCTGCATCTTGCTTTCTTGCAAGATTTGCCATTGCCTGACGTGGTTTTGAAGTTCAGGTTTGGTCATCAAAAAACAAAGAGATCATGACCATCTGTGGAAAAGAAGTCTTGTGCCATCCACACAAATGCAAGTTGATCTTTTTTCTTTTGTCGAGGTGCGTTTACTTTTTTGACCGGACTAATTCCTAAAATTTTATACATTTTGCATTCAAAAGAGCAAGCCCATAGATTGCATAGATACACCTGAACTGCCTAAGGCACATTGCATATTTGTAGCTACTATCCAGAGGGAATGTTAGCAATATCGCAGCAGTAGCAGAGATAAGAGCAAGCTAACCAAAAAGTTTAATCAGCCATTCTCGCTTGTTAAGCTAAAAAATAGCTACTGTATCTCTGTCGTGGAGAAAATACGTTGTGAAAGTCACTTAGAGAAACATTTGTAATTTCTTAGGATCAGGATTAACACTTAAATATTTAGGGCAGATAGTGCAGATTAACCTAGACTTTACAGTAACCTAGTTTATAAAAAATAATACACTTTTCACCAGAAATAATTTCTCTTTACAGGCACTTTGGCATTGGTTTGATCACTACACCACTTACATGAACAATAAATTTTTAAGCTCACCACTATCAAATAATGCAAATGAACTGATATAATAAACTATTAAATCTACAACTCCAAAAAGTAGAGAGACAGATAAAAGAAAGGATAGCTGGAGGAGATACAAGGAACCTTGGCACATATAAAACCAGTTTACATGCTTCTCTTTTTGCAAACTAAATCCACAGTTTTAAAAGCTATTCTAAAGCAAAACAAAGGAAAGACTGTTAAAAAAATACAGTGATATTTCTATAGATAAACCATGTAAGAGGACTCGAAACTACATTTGCTGCTTATGACTGGTAAGTTTTCTGTGCCAGCTGAAGAGAGAAAGAGAAGCCAATTCATTAACGCCAGCCAACTACCTTTGCACCCATCACTTCACAACAGTTTCTAGAGCTCATGCTTACAAAGTTTCTCCTCACAACACAAGGCAACAGCCAGGTAACAGTTTAAGTCTGTAAGTACTAAGCCTAACAGTGGAAATGGATTTTTCAGTCTTCATCTGCTTCAATCTACTAAGACTCAGCTGCTACTCAAAATTCAGCTTTTATTTCACATATATTTACTTGGAAAACCATTACCTGCTGTGGAAGCAAAAAGCAATGCAACCAAAAAACCAGAGGTCTGGAACAAAGCTAAGTGCTGAATAGGTGGAAAATACGCAACATCTGCAAGGCTACAGCAGCAAGTACTTCACCTCATCTCATTCAATCACATTGCTTTGAAAAGAGGAGGACAGACAGGAGCTGTCCCTCTTTGAAAGTTTCTCTGGAAGACTGAAGACTGCAGCTCGCTTATACCCCCAACCTACCACTGGACACCCCGAATTATTAAAACGATGTAAAAAGGTTTTGAATTTAAGGAAGTGAGCAGATTTAAAGTTAAAGGAGTTTACCTAAGCCATAACATGATCTACAGATAACATGTTAAGCCATAACATAGATGACGTGAGGAAAAGAATACGTCTTCAGAGACATTAAGAAAGGTAAACAGCCACATCTGCTCTCTTGTATATTCCACAACAATGGCACTCAAAGGTCTGGAGCTGTTTGATTCATCTTCTCAAATCAAAGTGGAAAGAAAGCAAATCTATTCCTCCATGTGCAGCACAAGAATGCAAAGCCTCTTCAGAGGCTCACTTCAAAGTCGAACGAGCCCTGGTGGCTCATTCCATGATCTATGCCTTCCCAACCCCTCCTCTACACTGTCAGTTCAAAAAGCCCAAGCATCTCTCTAAAAATTCGTCAAAAAAGGAAGCATTAAGACACAAACTCCACTGTAAGATACACTCTAAATGAACATCTATGCTTACAGGATATTGATGTAACGAGCATTTAAAAAAAAAAAAAATTGTTTCCAGAAATGCTTAACTATAATATCAAAAAGTCTTATCTCTATTTTCACTGGCGTTACTGGAACTCAGAAGCATGTCACTGTACCCGTAAACTGTTTCAAATAGTCAAACAAGTTAGATACACCAGACTTATTTCGATATAAGAATGCTACAGAAAACGAACTAAGGTATTACAAGCCTTCACCATTCAACAAAGGATTACAGGCCTTTGTAGGCTATTTTGCTGCACAATCCAGAAGCCAAATCTGGTGATCCACAAGATCTTGTTCATTCAGGTTAATCTTTCATTGAGTAAAACTCTTATTATGACAAATATATTAAATACTCCATTAAAATTAACTTTTCCTAATTTCTTCTTGTTTGGGGTAAATAATACTCAATCACAGTAATGAATTCTCAGATAATCTATTATAAAAGCATTTTTCAGGCTGTAATTCCCACTTTAAGTATCACATTCTGTTGCCTTGTTGTGGGAGTTCTTTTGACTGGAAAAAGACAATGACTGGATAGGTAATCTATTAAAATTCGCTGGATAGATGAAGTTATAGCTGTATGAATAAGCCAGTGGGAGGTAAACTAGAAAGGCAGTCTAGAGTGAGTCAGAAACCCTGTGTTAACTGCCTACATAACACTTTTACTCCACGCCAAATGCCAAGAAGCTTACTCTACTTTGAAAGCATGCTGTTACACTTTATGTATTTAAAAATACGCTATTTGTTCCTGCAGTTAAAAGGAAACTAAAGGTGTTTTCTGACAGGGAAACATTCCATTTAATGTGTGACATGCCCCTATTTGTTCTACTTCAAAAAAAAAAAAAAAAAGAAAAAAAATAACAACAAAAAACTTCTCATAGCATACATCCATTTGCAATCTCATCTTAGATACTTCCCACTACTATTTATGTCTGACCTTGACAAGATTACATAAACATTTTTACAAATGCCACATCAATAACTAAGATACCCTGTCTTGTTTAAGAGAGGACTAGATCCTCTAAGTACTTTTATCTGCCTATCTTATAAGCACTTCCACAAAAATCATGGCTCTCACTGCAGCATCTCAAAGGAACTATTATTTCTTGTAATGTTTGGAAAATGCCAGCCATACCTATCAAAATACATCTAACATGACACAAAATATTTACATAGTAATTTCAAAATACTTTAAGACTAGTGACTCAGTGGGACACAGAACCAAAATTCGTCATGCTTTCTACATTATAAATATATAATTTGAAAAAAAAACCCTTATCTTGTGATCAAAACAAGTGATCATTAACACAATTAACAAACCAGTCTTACCTATTTTTAAGAAGAGATGTGAGACTCTCAGAATTTAATTGATGCATTAAGGCATCCCTCAATGTTGGAAGCATTGACAGCACTGTTATTAAAAGAAAAAAAAAAAAAATCTGTCAACACAAAAAAAAATCACCACAAACCTATCCCCAGCTCTTACTCAATAGCTGCTATACAATGTAAAACCCATTGCTCAACAGGCAAAGCTGGGAGGACAAACAAAATAGGAAACCCTGGGAGTACTCAGAAGTGCCATGACTTGCTTGTCTCTTATGAGCGAGCTTGGGCACAACTCTGCCCTTACGTGGCTACGTGTCTTTGTTGGCTCCAGCTGCAGATGTGTACTCGCATCCTGCATATCTGCAACTCCCCAGAAGAAAATCTAGTGAAAATCTACACTGTTGCATTTCTCCAAAGGAGAAGAAAAAGATCTGAAGTTTGTTTTTTTCCGCAACAGAACCTGAGACAGGTATGTTTAAAAAAAAAAAAAAAAAAAAAAGCTGGTGGGAAAAGACCTTTACTTTCAGAAAATTCCACGTCCATTCTGCTGTTATATGATGGGAACAAGAAATGGAAAACAAGCATGCACAGAAGAAACACTATAAATAAAATATGATCATAGCAGACAAGAATGCATGCTGCCAGGCAGAAGGTACTTTGTACAACGAAGGGCAAAGAAAAACTCAGTCCCTGCAGTAAAACTGATGCCAGCACCACAAAATGGAAAAGAAGAAAATGAAATACCAGAGTATTTCATATCAGGGTAAACACCGTGCACAGAAAGCATTTGCAGCCACCCAAGAAGTCATTACAAATTTCAACAGAAGAAAATGCTGCCCAATTTGTTTCACAGAAATAGTTTTGAATGGCCTGTATTTACAAGAATGACAAGAATTTTGTTGAACCCTACCCTACCATCTCCTCTCCAAAAACCCAAAGACCAATGCTGTAATATAAACACTTTCACTTTTTGCTCCCCAGCTAGTCAGGTACCTTTTAACTGTTCAAATGTAGGGAACTAATGGGCTGACGTGCTTCTTATTTGTAAATAAAAAATACCCACCAAGCTCTCTGTGTAGCTTACTAAAAAACGCGCTATAATAAGATAATCTTGCTGTAAATTCACTATTGTTTTTACCTGGGTGCTGTTTCACACCTCAGTGCAGGGCGATACACAAAGAGTCTTTAAGTGACAAAAAACTGTAACCTGCATGTATATTTATATGCATTATAGATGAATATATTCAAACCAAGGGTTAAGACAACCCCTAGAAATCCCTTCAATTTTCTGTTCTTCAGATTCTGGTTTTATTATGCAAAATGACTCTATGCGCTAGTAGCTAATAAAGACTCTGAATTCAACTACATTTCTCATTCTTCTTCCAGCCTGTCTATATGTAGTACAAATCCCCAAATAATTCCACGTATTGAGAACAGTATCTATTTCCTTATCTTACCTGTCATATTGCATGTCCTCTGATTACTTTCAAAATGATATTGCCTTCGTGCTTGGGCGATGTATTCAGCTGCCTCTCGTTCTTGGATTTCTCTGATTTTCTTCTGCCCATATTTTCCCAGGAAATAGACTCCTACAGAGAGATTTTCATATTACAAGCTGCTTTAAAAATGCTAGGAAGGCCCCTTCAGCCCCTTTCTTTGATTTTAAACCGTAATGGTGCATAGTGGAGTTTTTTGGGATACGTGGGTATTGAGTATTTTAATACTGATTGACAAAGTAATGCTCAGAAATAATGTTTTCAAAATTAATTAAAATATCAAGGGTAATGACTTGGATCAGTATAAGAAACTTGCCTGAGAAGACACATCCTGCCTTTCAAAGAAGGTGTTCTTGGCACTACTGCAACGTGAACAACTAGTACTGAAGACATTGAAGCTAATATTGGGAAGAGGAAAAATGAAGGGTAACAAAAACAAAGATTAGAGAAAATAAACTAAAATGTATAGGCCTGGAGACGCATGAAAAATTAATTTTTTTCAGAAGATATCTGTCTAAAATTAGCAGAAAGTTAGAGATAAAACTTGCCTTAAAAATCACATAAGAGAAAAATGTTGCAGATCAACACTTCCTTCGTTTGGTCCCAAAGCTTCCATAGAAAGAACCTTAGCTCCAGTGGGGCTTGACTGTAATGTACTTCTTACCATGCCTGGTTCCTACGCTCCAGCCCCACTCTTCTGCCCTTGAGGATCTGATCATCCCTCATCGCCCTCACTATGAACCTCCATTTTGACAAAGACCCATCCAAAATTTTTGCTCTATATTTCCTCCTCTCCCAACATACATCCCTTTGAAGTTTGCCCCAACTGCTCTTCCCACACCACCAGAGGTTCAGAGATTTCTCCAGGCTGCCCACAGCCCTCTTCTCATCTTTCCTCATCTCCACCCCCCTTTCTAAGCCGTTTCTCAAGACACCACTGCGTCTTCTAGACTTATCCCCAGCACCTTTGCCCACTGTGAGCGGCTTTGCATGAATTTCTCCCCCTCCACCTGGGGCTGCTTGTAACACCTCCTGTGGATCAAGTTCATCTGCTGCCTCCCATAGGCACTGGTAGCAGCAGTTACCCACCTAGGTGCATAAGAACCTCTTCCCATGTTCTCTCATGAAAGAAGAGGGGGAAGATAAGGGAGGAACAAACCCAAGCAGAAAAGGCTCTTGTACAAGTTGATCATCTTCTGTACACTGGGGAGCAACCCCCTAAGTATTGAAACTCCTCTACACAGTGTCAGCTCTGACTCTGTCAAGTCAATAATGGTACACAGATGAAATCTGAGTATCAAATCAAGTCTTTATTTTTTTCTACCAAGCATTTTCAAAAGCCATAAACACAGAGCCACAAAATTTTCTTCAGAGTTCAATTTTCACATTTCAAAGTTAATATCTGAATGGAAGAGGCATTTAACAGTTGCTGAATGCTGAAAGTTTTAAAACTATTTTATAAGCCCGATACACAAAAACTAAAAAAAAAAATCCAAACCACCCAAACTCCCCAAGATTTTGAATTCAGCTATACTTTTTAGGTCATTAAAAGCTTTCAATACATTCTCCAAAACTATCATCAGTATTTCAAAAGGCTTGTCAACTTTGTGCCCCAATATTCACGGTTGCAAAAAAATCTGGCTATTCATATTGGCATTATGCTTCCTAGTAGGCAACTACAAGCCAGACCAGTCTGGAACCACAGTCACTTCCATTTGTTTCCCAAAAGCCTCATAAAATAAATATGGGGAAGTCACTATCTCTTGCTTCAGCCTTTAGGCAGACTGACCATTTGCCATGTGGAAGATTCACCCCACTAGATGCAAACTTTAAAATTATGGTTCCATATACATAAAATGCAATTTTACCACTAAATTGTAAACCAAAATGAGACTCCATAAGTAACAATTAGATTATTTTTCTCTAAAAAAATTATAGATTCCTGACAACAGTATCTATTTACAACACAACTATCAGGGCACTGATTTTTATTTTTTTTCAGCTAACATACTGAAACAGCAACAATTTTTTTTAGTATTAGCAAATAATTTTTGAATACAAGATCTTTCCAATCATTTTATCCCACTACATTTTTCACATTACATTCACACACACTCATTTGTCCAAATGACTACTTTTGTTCATTCTGCACACCCCAGCACCACTGAATAAATCCTCTAACTCAAGGTTTTGTGGCAGAAAAGTCTTAAGTATAAAAAAAGACTCTTCCTGAACATACAAAGGACACAGGCAGGCATGTAAACAATTCAAGAAGAATCATGAGCATGCACTTGAGTGATACGCTGGAGCAGCCTCTTTATGATTGAGACAGCTAATTGCTTAATACGATTGTTAAAGCTGTGTGATTACTCTGCACTAAGAACCGCTGTGCCTCGTGAAGGTCCAAAGCTGCAGCAGCAGTCACCCAGCTTTGACAAGGAGTTTCCAGAAAAAACACTTGTCTAAAATGACACGACACCAGTTACTAGCACTCTTATTCCTCCCCCCCAACCCTGAACTAAGTCATGACTGTGACCCATCACTAACAGTTGTCACTTGTTCTGGTATCACCCATCTTTGGGAAGGCAATGCATTAGAAATCAACCAAGGTAAAAGTTACACCATCCACAGAGCTTAAGCGATACCAACGAACAACAGAAAAGTCTGGATGTCAGCAGCAGACCGCCTCTGTTCCTAACTGCACGGCCTGTCGTCGTTGTCAGCTTTGTAACAATGAACTTCTGCCCACCAGTCACCAGTGCCTGAGCGCACCAGCAGAGCCTCTGCAAGTCTCTGGCTTATGGGACATTTCAAGGGGCTGCCAGCCTGGGAGTTGGTCTGCATGTGTGTTCCCATTTCACTTTGGAACTACCGTATGTATCTATATCGATACACATAGCATTCATTCAGAAGACTTGAAAATAACACAGACTTCTAAGAAGTTCAGGCCAAATGCATCACACGAGAACACTGTTACTCGGAGCTGGAAGCAGGACCAGAGAAAGCCACATCCCAAGAACTGCCATGTCAAGGCAGCTAACGTACCTGTAAGAAACTAAACTGACATTTTGAAAATCCCTGTTGTTACAAACAAGCAAAGGGAACACCAACTTTTCACAATAGCTGATATAACTCAATTTTACCTCTCAGTATGGGATAGGAAGTCTGTAAGAAGTGGCAGCAGCAACCTTTTACTCACCTTTAATTAGCCAAACCAATGTACAGATGGAGCTTCATACTGAATCTTTCCTAGCTGTTCCATACAAAACCAGGAATTAAGAAAACTCAGCAATAATGAGATTGCCCAAAAGATACTATCTACATAAACCTTTTCCTGCTTTCATTAGAATGTGAACCATACAAACAACTATAGTCCCAACACTTCTGATTCACAGAGGGTTCAGTCACAGATGAGTGGTGCAAACTAGGACTACGTCAGCTGATGCCAGAAGCTTCAGGTGCAGGAACAGGAACCTCAGTAAGGATCTTGAACCGCAATTCATACTGCTTTAAAACTGATCTGCAAAGGGAAATGTATTTACATTGGTATTGGCTGTCTGTGCTGGTTTTGGCTGGGACAGGGTTGATTTTCTTCATAGCAGATATTACAGGACTATGTTTTGGATTTGTGCTGGAAACAGTGTTGATAACACTGGGACATTTTAGTTACTGCTGAGCAGGGCTTACACAGAGCCAAGGCCTTTCCTGCCTCTCATACTGCCCCAACAGCGAGCAGGCTGGGGGTGCACAACAACTTGGGAGGGGACACAGTTGGGACAGCTGATCCAACTGACCGAAGGGATATTCCCCAACATGACATCACGCTCAGCAATAAAACTAGGGGGGAGGTTGGCAGCAGGGGCTGCTGCTCAGAGACTGGCTGGGCATTGATTAGTTGGTGGGGAGCAATTGTTCTCACTTGCATCACTTGTTTTCCCTGGGTTTAATTTTTCTTTGTTTCCCGTCCCTGTCTCTTTTCCTTACAATTTTTTTTTTTTTAAATTACTAAACTGTTTTTATCTCAACCCATGAGTTTTCTCACATTATTCTTCCGATTCTCTCCCCCATCCCACCTTGGGGAGGGGGGTGGGCAGAGCACGAGCAAGAGAGCTGGGGTTAAACCACGACACTGTCCTAAAACAATGGGAACACGCAGAGTCTATGGTACCCATATCTTGTGGGAGCAACACTTTGATTCACCTGTTAACAGTGAACCAAGATAAAATGCCCTAATTTCTCTCTGTAGCATTGTATAGTCTCTTCCCATCAAAATGTACGTAATGGAAGCAGCTTAGAAAATCTGCAGGCTCTTACATATTCATGCCAGTGGCCTCAAACAGGTATGATATTTCTCACATCACATAAATTATGGCGTACCTCTCCCTCAGCCCTTTCCTTTCTTCAGAGGTGGAATACAGAGATGAACAGAAGGCTGGGATAGGTAACTAGGAGCTATCAAATTTTCAGGAAACCTCTTTACAACCCTGTGTAACCTTTACCCTCACTGCCATACTTCCTCGGGGAAAAAAAAAAAGGGGGGGGGGGGCAGGAACTTTCAGTTTTAAGAATTTTATTATGCAGAAATTATGCTGACACACAGAAGCCTGCATCCTTCCAGAACATTGACAGCTCCGCAAGTTGTGGTTTGTCCTTATATACAAGCAAGCTGTGCATCCACAGACATACAGCTGTCCCATTATGGTTGAAAACCATACTCAAAATAAAAAGGCACTAAAGCTTTATTCTCTTGGCACCACTGAGTCACACCAAAACCTATTTAACGCCCCTGCACTCACTCACAAACCAAGACAACTTTCACTGCTAAGCAGACAGACTTCTGAACTGAAACATTCCTTCTGCAAGTCAAAGGTCGCAACAGATGAAATTGAGCAATAATTAATTCCCCACTGAAATCAGAACCATACATTGCAGACACACCCTGAACTTGCTCTTCTACTGCAGTGAGAGAATTTCAACCGTGAATCATTTTGTAATATCCATTGAAATCTACCTTGGACACAGCACTGAGATAGAAACGACTTGAAGGTAAATCTACCTGTCTAATGAGAGCAAGCAGACACAACGCGTCCTCGCAGCTCTGTCATACGAGCTCTCTCTCTACTTTAAATATTTCTAGCGTTTTTGATCCTAGAGCACCACATTTTGCTTACTAGAAGAGACTTCAGTATTTTTAGTATGCAATCTACTTCATATTGCTAAAAGAACAGAATTCTGAATAAAGGGCTTGTACAGGGTCTTTGCTAAGTTGAGATCTTTTCAACGCCACTTTATGGTTAAGGGAAAATTACACCTATTTCAGCTTCTTTTCCCTCAATTTGAGCTCCTACGAGTTTTGTATCTTCATAAGCAGAAAAATCTGTTGCAGTGTTGGGACTGACAGAAATTACACTAAGGCAGACAGACACTGATAATACACAAGGAATCCATCTCAGTAAACACAGGAAAGGCTACCAACCAACCCAGATTTTCGTCCAATAATTCTACAGTAACACAACACTGATACAACACTGTATCAGTAATAATATAGAGACTCTTCTGTACTGTCTAACAAATCATTAAATATTCTCATTAATCTCTGATCACATGCCAGTTAAAGACTTAAAATCATTAAACTGCGTGATGTCCCGTTTTCCTTGTTACATCCTCCTTCCCAAAAAAAACAAACACCAGAGAGATGTAGATTCCAGTCTCTCGTATTAAATCAGCAGATTTGGATGATTTTTTTAAACTAATTCAGCCACTTCCAAATACTCTATCTCCAAGTAAAAGCAGTGGTGTAGAGTTGCATTCTACCTTTTAACATTAGGCAGTATTTTTTGGCGAAGAATCCACTGTGGATCTCAGAGCCCTGATTCATGGGTAACGGCATTACCATAGCTCCTGGTGTTATTTTAAGGTTTGATCCATAACCAATACGTGGATGGCCAAAACACTCACGATTCAGCTGCTGGACAACTGTAGTGCAGCGCTCTGCAGTAAATCCCTCCATTTCCCAGGCTGCCTTAAAATACCACGGTGCGAGTTGCAGCTGGTGGCAGCCACTGCTGCTCTCCTGTTTGCAGATGCCCTGTTTTACCACAGAAAAGCAATTCTCTACAGAGTCCTCAAATACAACGTGGCCTGAGGAAGCAGGTACTTGATCCATGCTGCAGGTAATGTCAGGACAGTTCAGCATTTTCTGTCAGAAGTTGAAATGCTCATTAGAAGAGCAACATCTTGGGATTTTTTGGATTCCTCATACTTTATACGACTTCATTTTAGTCACTGATTTTTTTTAAGTGTACTTCAACCAGTCAGTATCATTTTAGTGAAAGTGACACCAAACTGTACATAAACAGCACCAATCATAAGGAAAAAGCTGCAGATTCAGTGATATTAGGATAGTCTGCAGGCTGGCAGAGGGCTGTTTACACATGATGAATTTACCACTTCAGGCTATGAGGACTACAGAGAACCACAAGCTCCCCGATATCTGCTTTCCCACTTGGACATTGATCCATGTTTACTAGCTGAAACGGGGACAACTGATGTTTTTACTAATCCCATTTGTCCATGCACCACCCTCACAAAGACGGCTGAAGGGGAGGGGAAACAGTTTGCAGGTTACAGCCTGGTGTATCCAAGTAAATCTGTTTACTTGACACGGTGGGCTGTAAGTGTGGTGGCTCAGAAACTGGTAAACATTACGTTCTGCTGTACTTGCAGAGTCAGAAAACCTGCAGGTGAGGTGGTGAACTGGAGAAGCGGTCTGACAAGTACTTCAGTAACCATCATCTAATCTATTATTGTACATTAATTGGCACTCTTTGGAAAAACGCAGAAGGAATTCATGCTGAAAGGATGCAGAGGACACAACAACCAAGGCAAGTCAGAAGTATATACCACCTTCAAAAGGTACCTCACCTGAATAGGAGACAAAATGTATTGCAAAACCCATGTAGCTCTCAGAACATTTAACTGTTCAGGCAAGTTCCAGTAGGTATAAACAAATATAAATTTTCCTTAGCAACTCTGTAATATTTAATTCTGTTCCATTTGCATAAAAGCACATCTGATGACTGAGCGTGCAAAGACATGGCTGTACCTTTTGAGGAGTATCTAGTCTCCAGCTGCGCAGACATGCACTTTATTAGTAAACAGAGAGATAGATCCAAGGTGTTCTTTTAAATCCAATTCCAACTAAAAATAACCTTATAATAACTCCAAGGAAAGGAGGAGCTTACCAGACCATTACCACCAGACAAGTTAGACAAGAGCCTTAAGGGAGAAAGGACGGCTTGAATAATTAATGTAAATCCTCCTCTCCAGTAAAGTTTTGTGTCTGCAGTTGGTTTATATTTGACAATTCACTTTTAAAAGTACAGGCTTTCAGCCTCCATCCTAAAAATAATAACACAAACGTCACTCGCACTTCGCACGATTCGATGCTGTTTCAAACCAACACAACCACCCGCCGTAAGAACCCGCAGGCAACTGGAACCCCTGTTTTAGGACTTATGGGACGACGGGCAGATTTTCCTCCCCGCCCAGGAGAAAAACCCTCCTGCCGCCTCCGCTCTCCCACGGGCGGCCGGTGGGTGCGTTCTGGTGTCACCGGCAAGGCGAAGGGCTGCCCCGCGCCACGGCGGAGCTCCCTGCGCAACAGCCCGCGGCGGCGATGGCAGGGACGAGGCCGG